AAGTACGTGTACTCTTGAATATTCATTAAATACGAACAAATAACAGTCCCCTAAAACTTTTGTAGAATTGTAGCCTTTGTAGGTATGATCGCATCCTCGTACACTTAATAAGTATCTTCGGACACATTTAAGGGCTTTAAATAAACATTTTGATTTTGATTTATCCAAAAAAAAAATGGGAGGGTGTGTTTAAGAAAATGGTTTCAACGTGAATTCAAGGCCATATAAACTTTTTTTACTCTATTTATCTTTAAATAATTGTTATTTTTTTACTAAAAATTTAAAAATAATTTATATATTTACCCATATTAATTATAAGAAAAGATTATAAGATAAAATGATACTTTTTATATGATAATTAATTAAAATAGATAATAACAAAATAAAATTTAAAAATATATTTATTTTTAAAATTTTAAAATAACAATTAATTTAAAATAAATAAAAATAAATAATAATAATTATTTTAATACAAATAAAGTACCACCATACGTGGAGATACCAATCCACGTAATTCTAAATTAACTGATTTTAAAATTATAATCGATGTGTCCTGTTCTTATACTTTTTATATTGTTTAAAAAAAAAATGCAGGTGTAATTCCCCAGCTCAAACTGATAAAAATGTTCTATTAACAAACTTACGCAATTTAAAAACATACGTACATAATTTGATGAAAACCTTATTTAACGTAGATATATACAGTGCAACATATATGCGTACTTGGGTTTATATTGCTTGTTCAGTTACAATTTTCCTTCGCGAAAATATCCTTTTGAGTATTGCTTGGGTTTAGGTAATGTTTTTATTTATTTTATTTTTTATATGAAAATTTTGTTTTATAATAATTTAAATTACATTGAATTGTAAAATAAAAATTATTAAATGAGAAAAGAAGGCTCAATATCAAGGGTCTAATCCTTATTTAATAATTAATATAATACAATTTAATACAATTTAAAATACATTGTATTTTTTTGTTTTTATATAAATAATAACTCTAAAAGAAATTTCACATGTAAATCTTGTTAAATAATTTTACTTTACTAAAAAAATTTTAAATGCTATCATTTCCTTCATTTAACTTTTGTAAAGTTAAATTTAAATTTAAGTTCTATTTGTTATGGCTATAGTTTTGAGTTTTAAGTTTTAGTTTTTATAAATTTTGTTATAATTAAAAATCTAAAATTAAAAATTAAAAAAAATAATACTGATAAGTAAAAATATTTACATGTTTAATAATATTAAAACTATATTTGTTCTTATTTATATAATAATCAAAATAATATGTTGTAAAAATATGTGAAGTTAATTAAGTAAATAAGTTTTTTATTTAAAGTTGTAAAATTTACAAAAATTAAAAACAAAAAACAAAAAGTACAATCATATTAAATAGAACTTTAGTTGTTCATTTTTAATTTTTAAGATGTTATTTAATGTATTTATTCATATTTTTTCTTTATGTTAAAAGGATAATTAAAACATATGTATTAAATAAGAATGCTTATTTAAGTATTAGTGATTAATTGAAGACAAATATAAAATTTTATCAATTAATTATTATATTTTCATTTTAAAAAGATATAATTATAATGTTACTGAACACTACAAATTTACAACATCATGTGTTGTTATATAATTAATTATTTCACTCAAAAGTTCATCAATGACATTAAATGTATCAATTTATTTAATGACATATTATACTCATTCAATATTATATCGTAACTATAACTTATAATTTTATGTAGTACTCTAATTATTGGATGCCACATTTTTATTCTTTTGAATAAAAAATCTAGGCTAACTAAAACGGAAAGGAAGAAGTACTATTATAAAGACTTTATATAAAATTAGATATATATGGATGTGATTGTACCTAAACTTTGTAGCTCGATGGTTATATGTTTTAGCATTAAGTGCAATCTTAGTTTTAGAGCTGAGATTTAAATCTTTTTTCTCCAAATTATAATACATTTAAAAAAAAAAAAGATATATAGGAGTGATTTTGCCAGTACAATATTTTATTGAGGTCACAAAAATTTAATTTAAATTAGTTTGATTAATATTTTATTAATTTATATTTTTTAAAATAATTAATTATAATGTCTAAAAATATTAATTATTTTATCCATTATAAATTATTCTGCGTAATCTTAATAAAATCAATTTTTTGTAAGTTATATTGGGTGCTCTTGACAAATTAATTTGTAGTGATATTCACGCCTTAGGGGCATGGTCAAACCAGTAGACAACATAAAGCAGAGGAAGTACTTGCAATGCCGGGGGTAATAATGTCATTACAACGAATGGGGGAGGGTGAGGTATGTATTTATCTTTTATATGAGCTTTTTTAAAGGACAATGATTGATACACACTTGGATTCAACATAAAGTATGTATCCCTGTATAAAAAAAAAATGGATTGGATGATGGGTAATTTTTTTTTATATGATGTGTGTACACCTTAGTGTTGGATTCGGGTGTGCACACATCATTTTTCTTTTTTAAATTGTGTTAGTACAATTTAAAAATCTTAAAAAATAAAAAATAAAATGTAATTTATTATTTATTTAATTAAATTTATCTACATGATATTAATACTAAAATTAATATTTATTTTTACATTTTTATATAAATTTATTATAAAAAAATACCCTTAAAACACAAATTAAAAAAATCATTTTGTTTTTTCCCTTTAAGGCATTTTGGAGCCAGATTTCCACACTTCTAAGACTATTTTTTCTTCCAATAAAACTTTGTTTGAGAATACTTTTTAGTAATTTTTTAAAATTTTTGTTTTTTTTTATTTTCAAATATATAAAATATTAAAAATTCTATAACTATAATTACCCGATAATGTTATCAAACTAGACCTAATTTTAATGACACACCACCTCCACACCATTTCTCTCTAATAAATTCAATAAAATTAATTTTTTTATGTATTGACCCGAATACTTGATACTAATTTATTTTATAAAGAGATATTTGTTTATTAATAAAAAAATTTTATTTTGTATTTTAAAGGTGCATATTAAAAATATAATTAATATATTTTTTACAATTAATTCTCATTAAAAATATAAATTTTAATTTTAATTTAATTAATTAACTAATTAAAATTATTTACATATAAAAATATTAAAATAATATTAATTTTTAAAATTTTTATATAAATTAATTGAAAATTATATTTATTTTATTTTTAAGTATACTCTTGAAACACAAATTACCCAAACCATTAATAAATCAAAAATGAAGATGGAGGGGGTGAGGTATAATGATTGGATTTTGTTAATTTATATGCTTAAGATACAAGTTAAGAATGTATTAAGTATATTTTTTTTATTATAAATATATATAAATATATATAAATTAGTATTAATTTTAATATCAAGAGAATTTAATTAAATAATTAATAAATTAAAAATTAATTTTAATTTAAATTTATAATAAAAAATATATTTAATATCTTTAATTTGTGCTTTAATAATTAGATACACAAACCAATAACTTATTGGTTTGAGTGAAAAGAATTCAAATTTTTTTTAAATAAAAACTTAAATTTGAGTATTATAAATGAAAAAATAAAATACGGTAGAATTCGATTTCGAATTAATTGAATAAAATGTAGTTATAAAAAACCAAAAAATTAATAGGAAAAAAATTAGATACACAAACCCATAATAATTATACCTGGGAGTGTCCAAAAGTGTTGTAATAAATAATTCCCACTCAGTCCTGGCATTTACTTTCCTATTTATGACTCCATCCCCTCTTACTTCTCTCTCAAACTCTAAAGCCTCTCCTTTTTTAGTGATTTTTGTGGCTCTCTGGTTTCTGTCGGCGGAGTGAAAGGAAAGGGAAGACTTCAAAATGGCAGCAGATGTGAGTACACGGGCCAGGATGTTAAACGGCCACCGTGAAGACGCCGCTGCAACGGCCACCGGCAATTCAGATATTTTGATAACAAGAGACTTGCTTGGAAATTTGTCAAAGGCAAAGAACAGAGAAATGGGGTTTGATGGACTCAAGGTGAATTTTTCTCTGTTCTTCTATTATTTTCAATTCTCATCCATCTTTCCCCTGTTTTAATTCCACGTTGAAATGTGAGTTAAATAAAAAAAAAAAAAAATTGCTCTATTAAGTTGGATGTAAATCTTATGTTTCGACTCCCATGGGTCTTCAATTTTTACACTTCAATTGTTTCATTAATCATGCAGTGGAAGAATTCCATGAACAAGAAAGAGGAAGAATCTTCTCAAAACTCCAAGAACAAGAAAGAGGATGAATCTTCTTCCTCATCTTGCTCCTCGTATTCGGATTCAAAGGTTCAAGATTTGAACTACCCACCAAAGAACTTTTTCCTGGATGAAAATAGCTTGGACTTAAAGCTGCAATCTTCTTCATCTTCTTCTTCGACTTCTAATCGGATCAATTACCAGAGCGTTTGCACTCTGGACAAAGTGAAATTTGCCCTGGAGAGAGCAGAGAAAGAGAAAGAAACGCCGAAGAAACGCTCCCCATGGATGCCCATTTCTTCGTCGTCGTCTTCTCCAACCTCCAAAATGTTTGCGGCTGCGTGCCCCGGTTGCTTGCTTTATGTGATGACTTCGACAACGAACCCGCGATGTCCCCGCTGCCACGCTTTTGTGCCGAAGCCCAGGATTGATCTAAACGGATCGTTTTGATTGTGGCTATGGAGGTTGTTGCGATGCTATGCGATGGGGACAAAATGCAAGTTTTTTTTTCTTTTTTTATATTTTGTATAGTGAAAATTGAAGACTTAATTTGTTCTCTCTCTCTCTCTCTATCTTTTTTTTTTTTTTTTTTTTTTATGAAAACCATAAATATAATGTATGTTAGTGAATGTTGAAATTTAATGTACTATTTAAGTATTGGTGCTTCCTTGCTCTCTACATTGCTAGATATCCATTGTGATTAATTATGCTTGATTGATTGAAGATGGGATTTGGGATGAAATGTTCAAAGTTCAAAGCGGTCTACACATAAAAATTTTTTGGGTTTTCCTATCCTATGCGCGTGTGCATTTATTATATTTTTTTATTATTAATACATATAATAAAATTAAAAATTAATATTAATTTTATTAATTATCTAATAAATAATATCAATGTATCATAAATATTAAAATTAATATTAATTTTTTTTATTTTTTATGTAAATTAATTTACAAAAAATATATTCAAAACTTATTTAACATATGTTTTTATTGTACAAATTACTTTTTTTGCCTATTCTCAGGGGATATATGGGTTATAAATGTTATTTTTTAAATTTAAAAAGGAAGGAAACAACAATGATCCCTCACTTAAAATTGAGTGGGTTTATACCCATCGTAGTAATCAAGTCGAATTAGCAGAGAATCATTCTAAGCCATATTGATATGTGGTTCAATTAGGACGGACGTACGAAAGTAGTGGGAAAAGAAGTTTATAAAAAGGGTGGGGAGGGGAGAACACCCCCTCTAGAGACAAAAACAAAACAAAACAAAACGTTTGGGGTAAGGGGGCCCTTACTATTTAAAAAAAGTTTTAATTCTTAAAGAAAATTTACTATTAATAATAAATTTATATATAATAACATGCAAATGATTGCATTAAATAAATATTAAAGTCATAAGTCGAAAAAAAATTAGAAGTAAAATATATATTTAATGTACAGATTTAAAATTTATTTAGAAATAAAAAGCATAATAATTAATTAACAAATTCATTGGTTTTTTCATTTTACTCCGTTGTTTAGAGTAGTAAATACAAATCCGTTGTTTGTTTTAAAACTTCTATTTTTAGATTGTTATAGTAAAATGCAAACAAGTATGATGCCTTAATTATTGACATTACTATAAGATAACTAATAATTCCTTTTACATTAACGACTTGTTGCTCTCTATATTAATCACTTGTTGTTATGAATAAAAAAAATAAAAGTTATAAAATATTTATTTTTATAGGATCTAATATCACTCAAATTTTAAATTAATTAAGATTTATAGTAACTCTCGAAATAGCAAGGATTAGTTAAAAAAGAGATTCTTACCATAATTTAGTACCTTGATTTCGCTTGTGCGGCCAATGTTATATATCTAAACATCTTACATAGAAATAGAAGCTAATAGTAAGCTGTTAGATATGCAAACTAAAAGGGAAAAT